TAAGGAAATAATTTCCAGCAGATGTGGAAGACAGAGACCAGACTCTTGTCTGCATTTTGTTTGGAAGCAAGGGTGCTTTTTCTCTCTCTCTTCAGGTAGGATCTCTCACTCTCTAACTTGAAAATATTGTTTTTTATGTACATATGACCGTATAAGATGATGTTAAGTGAAATGAACCCCAAGATAGGGACACAACTTGTTTTTTTTCTTGCTATTGTTTTTAATGTAACTAAAATGTACTGTGTGATTTTTTTGTTTCTCTTGTATGTACTTCCCCCACTGGTTAAAAACCCCTGTTTTTGCACTGTATTTGATATCGGTGCCCTGCATCTTGAAGGGGAGGGGAAATAACAAAATGCTGAAACAGGATACAGGATGACCCACTGTAACAATGAGATGTACAAGATACTATGTAGGAAATAAAATTTACAACTTGGGGGATAAAGGGGGAGTTGGGGAAGGAAGGGATGGTAGGGGAAGAACAAAGGAGGAGGTAACAACGCTCTATAGGAAATGTACTCATTATCCTACTCATGTAACTGTAACCCCTCTGTACACTATTTTTACAATAAAAAACAGTAAAAAAAAGTTAATTGATAGATTTGTATATTATCATTTACAGGGAATAACTTAAAATAATAATTATATTTATCTTCCTTTTTCTGTAGAATTTCATTGCTTTTTGGACAAAGGATTAGCTAGGTCAGAAAATAATGATAAAAATAAATATGAGACAGGTAGTTTTGGAAAACTTTATCAACAGAGTATCTAAAGACACAAACCAATTTTGACCAAATTTTGAAGTAATCACACAAAATAGAAATATGCATGAAGATCATGACCCTGGCAAAAAGCTCACAATTTTGTGTGAATTCTTTAATTTCATTGTAAATTTTTAGTTAAGTGAAATCAAATGGAAGAACTAGTTGTATACTGGAGGTATCTTTGTTGTATTAAAGTTAGCTAAAGTGATGGTACTTATGTCATGATAGCTAGAAGGCTACAAATTAAAACTTCCCTTTCATTCTTTGTCCTTCCCGTCCATCCCTTAACCCTTCTATTCCCTTACTTCCCTTCCTTTCTCCTTCCCTCCTCTCCTCTGTTCTCCCTCCCCTTCCCTTTTAGGGATCTAGGTTACCATCATACCACATAAAACATCTTTTCACATGGGTGGGTGAAACTCTTGGCTCCTCCCTGACAAAGTTGTGACCTGTGGCTGTGGTGAGGGGTTATTTTTGAGAATTAAAGACTCTTTTTTTCTATGAACATAGAACGCTAACACCCTAATAAGATCCTGAAATTTACTATTTTTCCCCCAGAATTCAAATGTTTCAAGTCCTTATTAGGAAGGATTTCTCTACAATAGGGTTCCTTATCACTTCTCTTCATTAAAAGCTAAAAGAAGAAAGGATATAACATGTACTTGGAAAGACTCCTGCTTTCTAGTAAGTGGAAGTGGTGCCACCTGATAAAGTGTTTGGAGTTACTGGAGGAGTCACAACTCTTGTTCTGTCAATGGCAGTGTTGAAGAATGTAACCCCTCAACTTCTCTACACCCAGTCCATACAAATTGCTCATACTGATAGGACCCTCAATGGTAACTCACTTCACACCTTCATTGCCTTTCTGGCTATCACTAAGATTAGACAGCATGTTTAGGCCATATTCTGCATTTCTCTAACCTTTTCTATATAGGCCACGATGACAGCACCCAACAGGTTTATGTACCTCACACATCAGATCTTATCAAGAAACTGGGCTGTGACAGTTTGATAAGGACACCCACTGTGGCTCACCGAATACATTCTAAAAACAACGGCAGCAAAACGCTCATCTCACACTGGCTAATGACCTTGCTTTATGGTGTCCTCTGCAATTTTAGATGCAGCACATTCATTGGCTGTGTGGTCTCAGAGGATGCAGAGAATGGAGGGTATGTGACAGTGTGGAATTTTATATTGTACTATTAAATTTTAGAGACAGCCACATTTCCCTAAATTACCCTTCAAGAAAGGGTTTAGTTTTCATTTTGCCAACAGCTTCAACCAGTGAGTCTCAATGGTGGCTTAATCCAGTAATCCTATCTACTTGAGAGGTGGAGATTGGGTGATTACAGATCAAGGCCAACCCCTGCTGCCCCCCTTGCCCCCCAGGAAGCGGCAGGGTTGGGGAGGGAAGACATAGAAGGACAAAAAGTAAAGAGTTCAAACTCCAAACACACACACACACACACACACACACACACACAAGCTGCCAGTTGTTTTTATCTGGGCTCCAGTCTTGTGATTGGCAATAAGGACACAGGATGACCCACTGCAACAATGATACCCACAAGACAGTATATTAGAAATGAACTTTACAACTTCCAGGGTGGGGGTGGGGAGTGAGGGAGGTGGGAGGGGAAAGGGATAGTGGGAGAACAAGGGAAGGGGTAACAATGCTCAGAAAAAAATGTACTTACTACCTTACTCATGTAACTATAACTCCTCTGTATCGCATCTTTACAATAAAGTAAAAATTTTGGAAAAGAATAGTGAACAAGAATAACGACATTGTTATCTCAGAATAATGTCCTTGAGCAAGACACACAAAAAAAGACCAAATATAAAATTTATGAAATCTAAAAGTTTTTACTTGATTTTTGCTATTTTGTGTCTGGTATTTTAATTTATATCTCATTTTAATCTTGTTGCTAGTTATTCATGTGCCTCAAACATGTTTCTATGTCCAAAAGCTTTATTATGAGTACATTTAATAGAATATTCAACAGAATTTAATTATGTCTGTATATTTGCCAAAATAGTTATTATTCAGTTAACTCACAGTGAATTTTCATTCTAATATCTGTGGGACTTTCCTTGCAGATGAAGCAGGATGAAGAACACTTAATCAGACTGAGATTTATATCATATCAAATTATCTTTTTTTTTTTTTTGCAAGTACTTAAGTCTGAGTTGAGGACCTTCCATTTGCTCAGCTTGCTTGGCTGATTGATATTCTATGGCTTGAGCCACACTTCCAGCTTAGCTTTTGCTGATTACTTTGGACATAGAATCTCTTGGACTTTTCTTCCTGGGCTGACTTTGAATCACAATTCTCTGGATCTCAGCCTCCTGCGTAGCTTCAATTCCAGGTGAGTTACCAGTGCCTGGCTTCAATTATCTTTTTAAACTGAGATTATTATTGTGACATGTGCCAAGAAGGTGTGTGGGACCCTCTGTTCTTGTGCTAATACTGTGTTGGTAAAGTGGTCACATTTGAGGAGGAATGTCAGGGAAACAGGCACATTCACATAGCCTCAGCAGCCATTTTTTTTTTTAATGACCAGTAAAGAATGTGTTTAGAAATCAAAGTTGCCACTTGTGAATAGCTGAAGTAAAACTGATAATACAGCCTTTGTGTTAAGGGGAAGATAGGGCACACTTCCAAGTGCTTGTTGGGTGGCTCTGAGTCTGATTAATGTGCATTGGAGTTGGTTGACATTTCCCCAGCATATTTCTATCATCTCCCCCTCCTCTTTGAAGCTTACTTTTTCCTGAAGCAAAAAAAACTGTTCCTGTTAATATGGACAACCCTTTCTGTCTTCTCACCTCTGGTTTTCTAGATAAGGACATAAACAAATGATGAAATACTTGACATTCAAAAATGTATGAAGAATGGGACTTAAGCACTGATCATCTAGCTTAAGCCCACATGAAGCCTCCTGGACACTCCTTTCTCCTTCTCAGAGGGGACCACAGATTTTTTATTTTACCATACTTCTGTTATAGATGTATATACCCATAAACAATATTTAAATGCATTACGTTTTAAAGTTTTAGATAGCTTATTTCCATTTTTCACATTTTTAGAGACAGATTACGTATAGTTTTGTTATTTATTCTTCACAAAATGCGGAGGCTCAAATTCAGGGCCTGGGATGTGCAAAGTAAATGCTCTACTACCGAGCTATATTCTGTGTATTGATACTTACCTTTGCATTTTATTCTATGGATATACAGTAATTTATTTATCCATCCTCTTAATGATGCTTCAGTGTATGCATGTTATCAACGTCTCCTTGAACAATGTGCAATTTCTTTATAAACCTAAGATTAAGAATTTTGGATTAGTGAATATACACACATATTTGAGAATGTAAGAAGTTTTAGCAGGGGAGTATAGCCACTCATATACCCTTGACCAAAGAATGTTCTTCTGGGACTGGGAAGGTGGCTCAGTGGCAGAGTGCTTTGCTTTGCATGCATGAGGACCTGGGTTTGATTCCTCAGCACTACGTAAGCAGAAAAAGCCAGAAGTAGCACTATGGCTCAAGTGGCAGAGCGCTAGCCTTGAGCTGAAGAACTCAGGGGCAGCACCCAGGCCCAGAGTTCAAGCCCCACCCCCGACAAAAAAAAAAGAAAAAAAAAGAATGTTCTTCTGTTAGGGAAGCTTTTCCTCCTTGACTGTGCGTGTGCATTTCTCAGGTCTCTAAGTGCTACCTCTGCAGTAGTATTGTTGCTGTTATATTTTGAGAATATAGAGAAAAGTCTAGAGAAAAGTCTATTGGGTTATTATTATTATGTTTTAAGATTAAATGCTGAAAGACAGGCACTATTCAAAAAGTGGCTGGTGAAATTTTATTAGGTGACTAAAATTAGTCTTGTGGTATAATTATAGCATTTAGAATCTAGAATAGGCTAAAAATAAATCATATAAATAATATAAATACTCAGTATGAACGATTGACATCAAAGGTTAAATTCTTAACAAGTTCCACTGGCAGCACGAGACCTAAGTATGAGCTCCTACAGTCGCTGTGCAGAGGAGGGTGGGATGACAGGTGTCCAGCATCAGGCTGGCTCACAGTAAGTAGAGAGGCAAAGCATCCTGAAGGTATCCATAGAGTGCGGGCACTGCCTAGAGGAAGGGTGAACATTTACTGAGATTTCCTCATAACTTAAAGCATGAGGCTATGAAGTCTTACTAGTTTGGTTATTTTTACATATTTAGATGCACAATAAAACCATCAATACTTGTATTTTTATTTGATACTTTTTTAATTATATCCCAAAGTTAGTGCTAGAGAGATTTCCCTTAAATAGTCTCTCTGCAAGAAATTCTTATAAAAAAATCTTGAAAAAGAAGCCTCACATATTTCAAGAAAAATGAGCACAATCAGGCTTGTGCAATATGCAAATGCTTAACATATAAGCTGAAGGAAACAGATTTTATTTCAGATTTAGCACTATAAAAGGTCAGTTAGGAAAAAAGCACGAACCAGTAACCAAAGGCATTTGCTTACATCATTCCAGAACTTAAAAAACATAGTCATTGTCTTTTATAACCAGACAACAGGTTCAAAACTACTTTTCACACTCCTACGTGATGTGATGCTGTGGGGAACACGGCCATTGGAAGGCCATTTATTGCTGGCATATTCTAGCATGTTCTGGTTATCAATAATCTCTTTTTATCTTCTTTCTTTTTTCTCTCTCATTAATTTCTTGCTTTCTTCCCTTCTTCTTTTATTCACTGGATTCCGAGGATCATAGATTTCAAATGTATCTGAATCTTGCATGCTTGCATCTTTAACTTTTCTGCTTTTATCCTCAAACTGGAGTACATGTGACATCCTAAGGATGGAAGAGAAATGATTCAGTGATCTTTGCATGAGCACTGAACATAGAAATTTCATATCCCACTGTCACTGGCAAAATGAGCCATAATGGTATAGAACACCGAACACCAAACACCACGATGGAGTTGCTGCTTATGGGTCTTGTCCCACATGGAAATCAACCTCTCAGAAAACACTGCAGTTTAAAAAACATGCCTGGGGGTTGTTTTGATTGGTTGTATTTCTAGTAGTGAAATGTCTGTCTTGCCTTCACTTGAGGTTCCTTCCTGGTGGGGGGGAATGAGAGTTCAAGTGCTCCTCAAACTGTGCTCAGAGAGTAAATTCTCCTCACCAGGTTGAAGGACAAAACACCAGACAATAAACCACACCTATCTGATGGTTTATGTTTTAAGTAGTTCAATGGGTCAAAAGCAAGGATTACAGGAAGAAAACTCAAAATAGTCAGGTTTGGGATGGTGCTCAGTGATAGAGTACTTGCCTACCATGATCCCCAGTGCCACAAATTTATTTGTTGTGTGTATATATACAGACACTTATATGTATATTTATAATGTATATTATAGTGAGAGTTAAAAAATGAAAGTAATATTGAAATGGTGCCACCAAACTTTTCTGGACAGTTGCTGGATTAAAAGTGGTTTTGTTTTCATATAAAAAGAAAGTTTTGGCTTAACTCCACGGCATGGACTGATTTTCTCCTCATACTGTTGATTACTATAAATCTAACCATGCTGCGTTCCTATTCCAGCAAACACTTACTAGTCTTAAGGTATCAACATGTGCTTGAATCTAAAGTGGTCATAAGCTGTCTGTCCTTGGCATCAGGGAATGTGTAAGTGATTAACTGAGCCCCCATTAGGAGGTGTGAGGAATAAACAGAGGAGTCAAAAAGATCAGACTTCAAGGTGACTGGATGAATTTGGAAGGAGAAAAATTCAGTTTTATACAACAAAACAATATTGTTAAGGTTTCTCTACCACTTAGTTAAATCAAAAAATTAAGGTGTCTTATTCATTCTTTTCTTCATCACAGCAGATAGAGCTAAACTGCCTATAAGACTAAATACTCTGTATATACCACTGCAACTTTCAGATGAAACTTAAATAGGCTATTAATTTCTTTTGCCCTGTATCTATATATAAGCAGAGATCTGGCAGTAAGTCCTAGGAGAGAACACTCACTCTTTGCTTTCCCCTCAATAGCTAAAACAAGGAGTGACATTTATTTGGGGGGAAAACTGTCAATATATTCAGATTTTGAAGAATCCTAATGCTCTTGGGAGAGAAAGACTTGCATTGTAGCTGCTACTCCTCAGGGTAAGTGGAAGCGCTCTCTACCTCTTCTATTCCACTGAGAAAGCTCATGAGTACCAGTGATAGATGACCTAGAATCTACTTGAATTCACAAATGATGCAAATCATATTCATATTACTGTACTTTTTAATTAATAATATGCTATTTGTATCAGGTTGCATAAAATCTCAGTAGAGACCCATGTGATATGTGACTGCTGACTTTTTATGCTATAGTTGCTTTAGTAAACACTTAGAAAATGCATCATGTAGCCACTGCACATACAGATAGATTCCAGAGTCTGATTTTCTTGTGATTTTAATTTTCTACAGTGTTTTAAGAATTAGCCTCGCAAAGTAAGTAATTTCTAACTCCAAAAAAAGGTTGAATGATCTATAGTCATAGTAACAAGTAACCAATGGAATCAGCAGGAAACATCTACTAGACTGAGCCAATTAATGAAGACTCACTTAGGTTTAAATGATCAGTGATACCACCTCAGAACATATATTGCCGAAAGCCAACTAACCAGCAAGAGCCACATGTTTTTGGAAGTTGGCCAACCAAGTGGCAGACTCACCCAGTGAAGTGCTTCTGAAAGCCAGCCAATCAGCAACACTCACTTTTGAATGCTTGTGCTTCTAAGGACTTTACATAAGATTTGCAACTGCTTTGCTTGGTGATAGCTAGCCTAATAACATTCCTCATTATGATTTGAATAATCCAGTTAGTGTTTTACTTTTTCATCAAAAGTTGGTCTTTCTGGCTGCTAGAGGCTCACAAAGCCAACCTGGGCAGGAAAGTCCATAGACTTTTATATCCAAGTAATCATTACAAGCTGGAATTGGTGGTGTGGCTCAAGTAGTAAAGTACCAGCTTTGGAAGAAAAAGGGGCAGTAGTCAGGCCTTGACTTCCAGTCCTAAAGATCGGTGCGTGTATGTGCATGTGTGCCCACATGTGGATACACACAGAATGTTGGTCTGTTCTTCTATATTTCTTATAATCTATACAGTGTTCCCCATGAAGCACATTCTAGAAATTCTAGGTATATTATTACTGAAGGGAAACAAATTAAGAAGAATGTCAAGACTGTTCATTCCAAGAAGGTCTTAGTAGCTTGTCACATACTTAGTGGTTATGTTGATATCTAAGTCAACAGGAGGAAGTAGCTGGAATCACATGCTGCCCTTTAGAACAATTTTATTCAGTACTCCTACATGGATATTTTCTTCCCATCCAACTAAGTTATTAACACATTTCCACATATATGTCATTCTATTTTAAAAATGATCCCATTCTTTATCCCAAAATACAGGTTTTTTTTCTTTTGTAGTATCAATTTCAGGTAGAAATGGTCCACATTTCAAAAATGATTTTACCAGACTTTGTCAATTTAAAATCACAAAAGGACACCTTCCTCTTTTTATGCCACGAGATAATCTTGCCAGTCTTGGCTCTGGTGTAGGAAATAACATCTAGACACATGAACAGCAGCACAAAGTCGACAAGGAGAAACAGATTTTCTTACAAATGTGAAAAAATAGAAAGCCATAAATTAAAGGAGCTGCCTGTCTCAACTGTTTGTTTCATACACCATTGCACTAAACAAGTCCAGCATTTTGATTAATAACAAACCTAAACCCAGAGGAAAGAAGGGGCTATCAGCTTACAAACTACTTTAGATTTAATGCCATAATACCTAGCATGGCTGGTTATTCTGCAATAATATTTAATCTTTAAGAGAAATAAAAGCATAATCAAAAATGCTTCACCCATTTATCTTTCAACAGGCTTCGGTCACTTCATTTTCAAAAGGAAAACAAAATAGTTATTATGATTTTCAGCATAATAAACTCCTGACCTATGTGCCTCCATAAATCACAGACTGTACAAACTGCAAGCATACCCGTGCGTCATAGACTCCAGCGAGGATATTCATGTAGACGGGAGCACAGACTTACTCAAGTACACGAGGGTTGGGAGTTTACCTTCTCCCATGGCCTAGAAACTGCAAAGCCACTCTTTGGCTGGGCAAAGAACTGGCCAAAGAAGAGCAATGAATTCTTTTGGAATTAATTATGCACCAATCAGTAACACGAACGTATCAGAACATGACCGCTTGAAAGCAAAGACAAAAATCTGCTTGTGACTAATACAAATTTTCACACAGGCTCAGATTCTCAAATAAGAACACTGATTTTCGTGAACTACAGAAATATAGAAGCTTATATGTACAGAGGTTGTGTTAGGAATTTTTAAAATGGAATTGTGAAAAATTAAAACATAAGTGATTATTCCTTGTATACCTAGTTTTTAAGGTTTCCACACAATTATGAACTATATTAAGATATAGATAGTACTTAGTATCCCTAAGGAATGATTCTCAAACTTATAGTAAGTATCACAACATAGAGTTCTAAAGTTGAAATACATTTAGATTATTTAAGATGATATGATATAAATGGAAGGGGAGGGGAACAACAGAATGGAGAGATAAAAGGCAACCAATGCAACAGAGATATGCACAAGAGAGTATGCTGGAAATGATCTGTACAACTTTGGGGTGGGGATTTGTGGAGTAGGAAAGCAGGAGAAAAATGAGACAGGGGGTAACAAGTTCAACCTTACATATGTAATTGTAGCCCCTTTGTACATCACCTTTACAATAAAAATAATTTTGTAAAAGATCCTTCCCATTTCTAAGTCATCTTTTTGTTTTCAAAAGAAACATTTATTTTGATGTTTATTTTATAAGCAAGACTGAGGAAAAAATATCAGATTTTCTCCCGTACAGACACTAGACCTTAAAAATAATAACAGAATGACATAAGTATAAAATGGAGAGGAGGGAGGGCTTTTTGGGGGTGGGAGCTAGTGAAAGAATGGAGGGGAAAGATGAATGAAGTCTATTTAAATGGTTTAAAAAGGGGGAAGGAAAAAAAAGCAAATGTAATGGGGGAACTTAGCGCAAAGTACATTTATATGCATGTGTGGGAATAGCATACTGAGACAATATACATTAATTAAAAAAGAGAAAAGATATGTTGTTGCAGGTACTTTAAATGTTCTACATCTGTACTGATTCTCTATCCACAAACTCTTCGGTATACTCGGAAGTATTCTTTTTTGCACATTTCTTTTATATCATCCTTTTGGTCAAGAACAACTGAAGAGAGTGCGGGACGTCTGCCTGTGGAGCTGTTATCCTTCCTGTGATAACGAGGAAAGAACGAACTGAAAATGGTGATGTTGAGAAACGCAAGAAGATTTTTGTTCAGAAGTGTGTCCAGTGCCACACCATTGAAAAGGGAGGCAAACACAAGACTGGGCCTAATCTTCACGGTCTGTTTGGTCGGAAGACGGGTCAAGCACCTGGATTCACTTACACAGATGCCAACAAGAACAAAGGCATCACCTGGGGAGAGGATACACTGATGGAGTATTTGGAGAATCCCAAAAAGTACATCCCTGGGACAAAAATGATCTTCGCTGGCATTAAGAAGAAGGGAGAATGGGCAGATTTGATAGCTTATCTCAAAAAAGTTACAAATGAGTAACAGCCACTGCCTTAGTTATTTACTGCTAAACAAATGTCTCATGGATTTTTAATGTGTACCATAATTCAATTGATTTCTAATATCAGATTTTAGATCATGAATGGCTGTCAGAATATTTTTGGACAGTCCTGATTTAAGTAAACT